TGAGAGAGAGATGTGTATTTTTCCCTCCTGGTGTTAATCTTTCCCTGTGGTGTACCAAGGTCAACTTCCTTTTTTGCCCTTTTCCTATTTTATATTAAGCTCGCTGTAGTTGACATATTTTAGTTCACAGTGATTCTAAACGTAGTTTAGAAATGCTAGTATCTTCCATTACAAAGGAACAAGAGGGAAATCTAGTGAGGGTTAGGGCTCAGGTCAGAGCCTTTTGCTACTTGGGAGATTACAAGGTTGTAGTTGAACTTACCATCGGTTGAGGTTTTTCACCAGGTGAGTCCCAGACCAAACCCTTGTTTCTTCTTCCAAACTTTTTTTGTTCCACTACAAGCAGATATAAAGCAATTAAAAGAAAAGGCAAGAAAGCCTTCTAGAAGTGGAAATTAACTAGTGGCTTCTTTATAATCCAGTAAAATCTAATTACCTTTGAATTAATGGAGAGGCAACTACTGTGTTTCTTTCTATGAGAAAATACATATATAGGATAACACAGACATAATGGTGTCATGAGTGTAAGTCACCGTGAATGCGTGATCCCATTGATTTCATTGAAACAAGAGAGTTAAAAACTGAAAACAAATTTCAGTCTGAGACACTGGTTCATTACGGGCAAATTGATAGACTTGCTAGCATAATTTACCAATTGTATGAGATGTAAACAGGCACAGTGGTAACACAGGCTAATTTTATGCTCAATGTGAAATCTTATAGTTGGTCAGATGGATACCATAAGAAATAATTAGAGTCATTAGAAATAATGGGCTACAGCTGCAGTAATACATGCTCTATTCTCAGTCCAGAGGTTTCTAAGCGAAATTAAATTACCTCATGTTACCACACTGCTGCATCATATGTTTCTGATCTCCTGAGAGTAAACTACTCTTTCAGTTTCTTTACTGCAATCAGAATTTGTGCCCCATGCAGAAAAATCCCATGCTGAGGACTAAAAAAGTCTGAGGTTTGGGCCATTTGTTGAAGAGGAAGAAAATTTTAAAAATGGCAGCAATAGGCTGCCATGTGTATCCCCTAAGATTAGTTCTGAGCCCACATTAATCTTTTTCTCATGTTCTGTGCAGTCCTCCTGCAGCCTTCATTGCTGCCCACTGCCTCAGCAGCAGGGCAGACATCTATCTTTGGCTATGGTACTTATCTGGCTTCAGTTACTACAAGATGTAATTGGTTCACAACCACTAATATATTTATTTTTTCCTCCTCTGTGAAATTGGGAAGTGCTCTATGTTGCACAACTAAGAAGTGAGTTTGAGAGTCAAGTTACAGCATTTAGGTGCTCAGTGGGATTTTCAAAAATACATACACCTGTTGTATGAAGAGTATCGTGGGCTCTTTGGTATTTTTGAAAGTCCCGTTGCTTGTCTCTTTTCTTTTAATTTTTTTGGTTTATGCAATAGTCTGGGATCTGTAAGAAAACTGGGAACTAAGCAGAGGTTTCCATATCTAAGATTGTCAGCCAGACCAGGGGACCAGCTGTTCAAGCACCTCTTAGGGTACTGGGACAGGAGCAACTTCATCTCAGTAGAAGGAAGTAACATATCTAAGTTCTGAAATCATCAACAGCATCTTAAAATCAGTGTAACTCTAAGGGTCACAGCAATGTTGCCCTCCCTTTACACCTCTGTAAGAGCAGTCAGAATCAGGTCCTGGAGCAAAATAAAGCACCAATGTGGTCAGTAAAAAGGGCTTATATGCCAATTGCTGGGGTGGAAAATTCAAGAGGAGGAGCAAATAATGAAACAATCTCTATTCATCCTGCCACCTTTCTAGCCTACTGCTATAAATACAGGATTACACCTAGCTTGGAGATGTGAATCCTACTGACAGCTCCAGAGTATCATACTGGAAAACAAATGTTGATTTTGAACAAATTATCTGTTCATCACTAAATCATTTTCTTTCAGTATTAGTCTACAAATTGGTTCTGCTCTGGAAGACAGAGTTAGGTTTAAAAGCAGAGTGTCTCTTAAACACTTGCTAAAAATAAAAAAGTATTTGGTAAACATTACTCAAACTCCCTAGAGCATAAACTCCTCAACTGCTTTCTCTGGCTTTGCAGCTCCTGGTTTTAGACAAGTGTCTCAGGAATTCATTCAGGAAATCAAAAAAAAAATAATTAAATTAAAATAAATCTCTTGCAGTCATATGTTCCTCAAATGCCAAGGAAATTTTTATTAAGACCTTTCTGTCTTCACTTATACGGAAGTCCTATGTGAACTGATGGAGTTACACCAACATCAGACCACTGTAAGAGAGAGAAGAATCAGCTCTAAGCCCAGAACTTAACTACAAAACCATGCAGGCACAAGTTTCTCATCACTGAAAAAGCTGCACTTTGCAGTTATAGCACTTGCAGTCATTTCCATAATTTTAAGGTTCTAAAAAAACTTGGGGCTTTAAAATGATATTTTTAGCATTAAAGGGATGATGTTTGGTTAATTCAGCGTGTCAGTAAAATTGCAGATGTCTAAGCTAGTGATATAGAATGACAGAAGGGGGTTCAGCTCATCCAACATTCCAAAAATGCACATGCTGCTGCAGGGAGCACACTTGATTACCGAGTGGCAACAAAACCCTGGGCATGTGCAGCTGTCCCATGTTACACTTTTGACTGCTAGGAGATGCTCGAGATGGACATTTGTGTCTCCTTGAGACAGAAGTCTCTGAAGGGATTAGGATGTGTCTAAAAATGCATGGATTTCCAACAGCATTTTGAAGATGCTGTTATCCTCCCTGTAGGTTTCAGCTGGGAGGAGGAGGGAGAACAATGCAGTCACTTTGTAGGTATGAACAAAGACTAAAACTTTGGGGAAAATGTTATCTAATCAACTCCCAGCTACTTGGTAGCTTGTTCATAGGATGAATTTAATTTTGTTATAATGGGGTTCTGTGAGCACAGGGGAAAGTATACAAGTAGGAGATCCTCTTCTATGTGATACACCTGCTTTTGGAAAAAAATCTTGTTTTCCCTTGTTCTCTACCCTCACCTCTAAAGTCCTGTTGTGAGAGTGGGGCGGGCAGGGATTGACTGCTGCTGCAAATGAGCGTATTTGCACTGTGGTGTCTGAATGCTGTTTTTCAGTTAAATAAAGGATTTATTTCTCCTTGGGGAGACTAGCTACAAGATTAACAGATGAACAAACGTATTGAGACAGCCACGACATCAAAGAAATGGAAGATTCATTAAGATGTAGGAGAGTTGAAGAGTCACCTGGCCATAGTCCTCAGGAATTATTTTATCTTGCAGATTAGCTCAGCTGTCTTGAGGTTCTGGCACATCTCTGGTGAATTCATCTATAGTGACTGAAGGCATTGCTTTTTTTTTAAATTCTCTCTCAGCCATTACTGTGCAGATCCTTGGGACTTCAGTGCAAGCGGAGTGTCTTTAGTGGTTCAGAGTGGACACCAGCTTGTGCGCTGCACCCCCTAAGCATGAGAATGCATCGCATCCCTGGGCAGAAATCTCCCTTGGCGTGGTGGGGCAGACAGTGCATCAGGTCACCATAACTATTGCTCATGACTATTTTTGCTGTAAGGAAATTCTAACAGATGTTGATAAGGCAGTCATTGCAACTGGAAGGTCAGAGGGAATCATAGCACTGTTTGCTGTGAGTCATGCTTAGCAGGATTTCTCTCCTCCATGCAAGTGAAAATTCAATTAGGGGAAAAAAAAAAGAGAGAGAGAGAGGAGGGATGCTACTAACCATGAGACCATGCTCACTGTTTGTGCTGCATATTCCTTAGTTCCTCCCTGGAGATTATATTTATTTGGGTCAGCCAGGAAATTACAAATGAGTTTGGGATCTTGAGGGAAGGTGTTTGAAAAAACAGTGATATGAAGAGACCAACAAGTGGCAAAGTCATAACTTGAAAAGTGCTACATAGAAGGAACTGTGCCTCTGCTTTATTGAACTGTTGGCTACAATAAATACAGATGAATTCCCTCAGTTCCCCTATAATGTTGTCTCAGTACCAGCAGGACTCCATTCCAGAATACACGTGCTTGCACCTGCACAAATTATATAAAGAGTAGAGAAATAGATGAAATGCCACTGCAGTAACACAAGCAAACCCAAAGAGATACCCAAGCATGCTTTGTCATGTGCTGCCCTTGTGCTTTAGTTTTGTCCATATGCTTGCTTCTGTCTGCCCAAGCCTTTCCTGTGATGCAGAGGATTTTCCATTAAAGTTCTCCTGTCCTTTTCATCTGGTGAGAGCATAACATAGTTTCTGCAATAGTACTGCAAATAAGTTGTGATGTATCAACTAGAAAGACAATTCTGAGAACTTTATTATAAAAAACTTAAGAGACTCACCTTCAGAGACTTTATGATGAAGGATATGGATGTTGTGACACTTATGAATGGATAATCAGCACCAAAGAGTGAGCCTTGCATGTTGAGATCTTAAAGCATTAACCTCAACTGTGCCTGAACTGAAAGGATCAGCTGTGTTGGCCAGTGCTGTGCTGTCAGATTTCTGTATGGCTATTCACCACTAGAAGGGGGTCAAAGGCCTGCACAGAGGGCCTGCATGTGAGTAGTGTGATGTGAGCATTGGATTGGAAGCCAGCAAACATTGGGTCTTAATCTTTCTACTCTTCGGTTTGCTTAGATGTCATTAATGATCTCTGTGTGTAAGTGTACTGCTTTGGTAAGATCTCTAGTAGTATTGGCTAGTTAGAAATCTGAACTTGTATATGGGCCAGTTAATTATAGGAGAAACTCATTGCATTTGGCACCTCGTTCCAGCATTTACAGCAAAGCAAAGCTGCTGTGCAATGCAGATTGGATTAGTGATGTGTTTTATCCATTGCACATTAATTCTTTCCATTGACTTAAAACAGGCTTGGATCGAAAATTCAGTAGGTGCCTAAGGTGCCTTGCAGCATGCACTCAGACTGTGCAAGAAGGCAGTCTAAAATTCAGCATGAGTTTTAAAGCCACCAGGATCTGTGATTCTGTCTTCTGTTGCAGACTTGAATCACCTACACGTGCACTGGTGATGGAAGCTCCAAAAGGCATCGAGATCAACGCCGAGGCTGGCAGCTTGAAAGCCACGTGCAGGACGGAGCTCAGGCTCGAATCCAAAGATGGAGAGGTAGGCAAAGTCCTACAGCAAAACAAACCCAGCCCCACACCTGCAGATTTATAACCTCTTGATTCACTTAAGAGTTCTATATGAAACACTGGTTTCAGAACAGTGGTGAAGCAGGCCTTCATAGCTTAGTTTCTGCCAGTAGTGATTGCACATATCATCGGATGCAAACACATCTCTCTCTGTGGAGAAGACTGATTCATTATTTCTAAAGTGCTTGGATAATAGCATCTGATGTTCAAGGAGATTTATGCAGTTTTCTGTAAGAGCATAAATCAGCTGTATTGATCTGAAAGCTTTTGTAGCTGATGCTTTCATTCTGGAAGGAAAGGCAGCATTAGGAAACATAGGTCATTGTACTGAGGAAGCTTCCAAAAGGAAGAGAAAATGACTAAAAATTATATCACAGAACGAAAGTAAAATAATGTCTGATAAATAGTTTATTTTAGTGTCTCAAAAATTTGCGTGCATACAGTTCTTATCCCCTTTTCTCTCTGCAATGATGGAAGACTGACGAAGGATGTGGCTGAGAAATGCACTGGGGAACCTAGCAAAAGCATTTGGCAGAAAGAACTTATGTTGAATATGAGCCTCCCAGCAGCAGGGGCCCAAGATTTCCTAAGCATTGCCCATCTTTATATGTGATACATAAAATAGGAGTTGCCATTCTCTTATTGGTATGTGTATATATTCCAAACTCAGATGGAGAGAGGGGAAATGGGTGACAGACTGCAATTGAAATCCAGGGCATTTCCCTACTGCAAAAATTGCCTTTATGTTTTTAACACTAATTTCCCTTGGAAATGCATATATTGACCTGTCTCTTCAAGGAGATTAGATGGTTGGTTACTAAAACTGAAGAAGTGGCTCTTATTGTAGTTGCAAGACATGAGCATATTCTGCAGATTATCGCACTGTGCTGTTCTCTGCACTGGAGCACTTGTAGGGCAGGGGCCATATATTCATTTTAGCATTCTGTTCTGTAAAGGAAAGTTCAGGCAATGGATGGGCTAAAAGTGCTCACTAGAGTCGGTGCTGCGAGCTTGCAAGTGAGAATGTAAAAGCGATCCCAATGCCAGAAGTGCCAGCAGAAGAGAGGAGTTGTTATGTGGATGTGACCTGGATACAACAACACTTCCCCACTGGCAATGGGGTGCTCACAGCCCACTGCTAGGCACTGTGTGAGGAGAGTTAATCCAAACACCAAGGTGCTTCAGGAAGTTATGATCCAAGAAAACACATGGATAGATTAGCAGATAAAAAATGGAGGTCTTGGGAGGCTCATGGTAAAGGCAGATTTACATCAGGTTTTTCCCCTTCATCTGCCTTTAATACATTTGCTTGCACAGTTCAGTTTTCCAGTGAAGTTTCTTTCTTTAAACACAAGGTCAAAAATAACATCTGTCCACTAATGTGCTCTTTCTCTTTCTCTCTCTCTCCCCTTCCAACTTCAGATAACGTTGAATTCTGCAAAAATCAAACTACCTAACTTGCCTCAAGGATCTTCCTCTTCTGCAGGGTCCAGGCAAAAAATCTACGAGCTCTGTGTGTGTCCCAATGGGAGGTTATTTCTGTCTCAGGCAGGCACTAGCTCGACCTGCCAGATAAATACAAGCGTCTGCCTTTGAGAGACAATTTGCAGTGGGGCATCGCGGGCAGCGCAAAAGCCAATTCTGGTCTCACAGATTGCAGCTGCCAACTATTTTTACTAGAACACAGAAAGCCTATCAAAGACTTTTTTTGTGTGTGCGCGCGCTCGTGTGTGTGAATATATATATATATATATAAAAATATATATATTAAATATATATATCCTCTGTGTAAAATGATGTTTCAGTACAAGGAATCCCAGGGTGACCCTGTTACATTTGTGTAGCATTTTTCTTTCCTTCCCATGCCAAAATTTACTGATACAATATTCTAAATTGGACTAGATGCTCCCCTAGACCCTTCTGTTATATATTCTGATGATCGTCCCTCCTTACTGATCATGTTCTCAGAGCAATGGGATTGCTGACTGATCAAGGCCATAGAACCAGTGTAGACCTAGCACAAAGGGGAGAGCAGCCTCTCTGATTACTTTTGCGTCATTAAATCAGTGACTTGGAAAAAAAAAAAAAAACAGCCAGACATTCTGTACTGATGGCCCAGAGGGAGCCAAGATACCTAAGGTTAAATTAAATTATTTAATTTTCACCTAGAGTAGGACTCCCTGCTGGGAAAAAATAATTTTATTCCCTTGTTCTTCCCAGTCCTTGGCCAGGAGAAGAGTCTAGATCTTCTCACTGGTATAAATGGTTTATCTGAAAGGGATCTACATGAGCCTGTGCATGGCCAAGGATGTCTTAGGCTATTCGGACAGGACACACTCAAGCTGTGAAGGACTGATATTTAATAGTCTCTTAAGGGAGACCTTTTCACTCCCAAGTTGGAATTTAGCAAACCAAGGGAAGTTAACAAACGTGTGAAGGTTAGTGTAACTAACTGGGAGAAGAAATAAAGCCAATGTTGTTATCTTCGCTAAATCTTACAATGAGGAGCTCTGGAGATGTTATGCTGTTATCTAGCATCAGTTGGAGCACTAACCTAAAGATATCTCCAAATTAAGAAAACATTTTATGTATGTTGCAAATATCAGAGACGCTGATAATGAAACAGATTTTTCTCTTTGTTTTTTAGAATTTATAAAGGTTATGACAAAGATTACAAGAAAGCAAGGGCTTTGGATAGCGGTTCATCTAGAACATTAACCCCCAAAGCTCTGTGGCTGAATCTTTTCATGGATGCTTTTTTACATATTTAAGTCTAGGAGTCACTTATGGACAGGATAAAATATGAGATCTGATCTGGTAGCATTATTTTTTCTGTTCAAGTCATGAAAAGTAATGAGAAGCCCATAACATTGAATTCTGACCCCTAACTACACGAAAAAATCCCCGAGAAACTAATGTGATAATTATCTCGAAAATGTCTAGGTCACAGTAAATCTCATGAGGGTAGCAAGCTTTCTAAGTCACTGAGATGCTTTTGAAAATATCACCTCATGTGCAAATCTGACAGATTTGTGCCCATCCTAATGATATCTAAGAAAAGCTGGTATTTAAGAATACCAATTTTCAGCAATTTTCAAGATAAAAATAGCCAACAGAGAATCTTTAAAAAAAAATTTAAAAAAACTTTTTTTTTATTTTAACATATTTCCTTGTATTTTTTGTGGTCTACCATTTTTTTCTTTATTTTTTTAAGAACATTTCTGGCCTAATCCAAAGCTGCGTGGGCTCAATGGAAAGTTTTCCTTTGACTTTCATGAACTTTGGTTTAGATGTTGCTTCCCAACAAAGCAACAATCCTGTAAAATTTACACCTGATAGAGGATTCATTTCAGTAATGTTGTCAGATTAATTAACGAGTTCAAACAGTTTGTTAATTAATGATTCCTGTAATTATTATGTCTTGAATCAATGTTTGAATGCAAAGGGTCACCCAGGGTAAAAATTGTATTGGGACACAGGACTATACCATCTCTGTTCAAAGAGGGGAATTGTGCCTATGCCTTAAGTCAATGCACTCAGCAAGGAGAAGCACATCATGTTTATCTTGTTATTAAAACTAGTTTATTTGGGGGGAGGGACAGGAGGGTCTTGTCACCAGGTGTCCTAGGAAGTGGTTGTGCAACATAAAACAGATATTAAGATTGGAGGGGCACTTAGTGAGATACAGATGTTTTTTACCATGTTAAATATAGCAAAATACTGTGTACGTTACCTCTGGGACCACGACTGAAGTCCCATTCATAGTCCTACATTTACTGTAGAGATTTTTTCATTTACTGTAGAGTTTTTTTGTGTCATTTTATGTTGATCACAAACCCCGTGTGCAGAAGCGCGTGAGCGTTGGGAAGTAACGTGCTGCAGGAAGAGTCCTGGGTGCAGAGAAGTGGTTGCATTAGCCTTCCCATCCCATTTTGATGCTAGATTTAGAGTTTTGATGCTAGTGGGAAACACTGGTTTGAGCACATGAACTGCCTCAGGAAGGACAGTGCTCCTGCAGTCCCATGTTGCAACCAAGAGATAGACTCAGTCTCTCCATCCCCTTGCTCTCTATCTGTTCTGCTGAGGATTTCTATTCCAAGAGCTGCATTTTCAGTGGCCAGTCTTGTCAGTTTGGGTCTTAGATGAGATTATCACCTTCTTATTTCATGAAGGCTGTGAAACTGCTTAAGGATGTTTGGCCGTATGCCTTTTTTTAATGGATTTCAATGGGAGAGCTGTTAAGGAAGAACCTTAATGTGTCTGTGCTGTCACTATAAAAGACTAGCTTTTGCAGAAAGATTCACTGAGGTGAAAAAAAGAGTACTTTAAAGGAATTCCAATTGCTTCAATATATTTTACAAGCCTGTTTCCACCTTAAAAACCCTGTATAGAAAGACAAGGTCTGTGTTACAGAGATTGAACCTGGATGAAGCCTGGTAAATCATTTGAGCCCCACTTGAATTTTAAGGCCACAGTTTAGATGATACTATATGCTCTTGGGTTAGCTACAGGGCTAATCCCATGCTGTTCAGCAAGTGACAAACCAGAGCAAACAGGACTGTGTGCCTGAGGGTCCAAGGAAAAAAAGTCATTTTGTTTGAAAAGTAGCATGCAGATATATCCAGCTATCTCATACTTCATTGCTTGTTGTACGGGGGCCACTGTGGAGACACTAACTTCCCTGGGGAAAGGCAGATGCATGAGACTCCCTCTTCCTCCTGCCTTGTTGGCGGTCCGATCAGCAGACATTTAATAAAGAGGATGTCTGTGCAGAGCTGCACTTCTTATTATCCATATGATGTGACCTTTGCCATGTTTGAGTTGCCTATGCATTACTCAGAATTGCTTTACCTGTGAGAGTTGTTTTTCCCCAAATCCATGCAAATTAGAATCTTTCTGGATGGAGTTTTGCACATATGCTCTCCCTACCCCAGTTAAAATACTAAAAAAATGCACAAAGTTTTGCATGTTTCATTATGAATTGGGCCTGTAATTTAGGTCAGCATTTGCTGATAGGGAGAACGCATTTATCTTGGAGTTTCTACCTCCCAATGCAAAGGCAAGGCTGAGGTGGATTGTGAATTTGCTTCTATTGAAATCAGTAGAAGAGATGTCAACAGCTTTGCTGCTTGAGCTAGGACAAGATCTTTACAAGCAAAAAATCAGGGCACTGAGGCTGGTGGAAACACTGCCACTTAATTTCAGTGGCTGCAGGGCCGAGCCCTGACTGCGCTGCATGCGATTCTGCATTGCAGTTATGTGCATTAAAAACACATTGAAATGCTAATCAAGCAACTGTGGTACTAAAGTCAGCATACCTTAGGCAACCATGAATACTGCAGTTAAATGCTTTTATGTATTTTAACTCTTAACTTTATAGGGCTTTGGGACCTTATTATGTTTGCTTTGAATGCCACACTTTAGTAAGCAGTCAAAAAAAATGATTGACATTGCTTACTTGTACACCAGGACCTTATCCACATGTAATGTATGGGCCTTCTGCTGTAATAAGTGAGTTAGAGTGTTTTGTTTTGTTTTTTAACCAAAAAAACATTGTCATTAGCAAAAGCAGGGATCCTAATAATAATTATATGGCTGTATCCATTGTCCAAGTTTCTATAATTTTTTTTTGCTTTGTACACTTTTTTTGAAGTGTAAATTTCCCAGCAGTCAGTGAAATGGTGCACTTGACAGTACAAAGAAAATGCTGACAGTAAAGGAAGACAGGGGAAACCAGCAACTTTAAAAAAAGTGTGAGGCATCTCCCAGGTATATGCTGTTAGAAAACTAAATGTGGAGAAATGATTTATACTTCTTTCTTTCAGTAATGCTGTCAAACAGCTGTATTTTGAAAAGGATTTTTTTGTTCATTTAATCACAAATACCACAATATATGAAAAAAACAGTTTAAGATAAAAGCCTAAAATAGTATCTGTGTGTTATAGCGATAGAATGATGTCTAAAACAGGAAAAAGCTCCTTAGAAATTGCTCCAACGGTAAAGACAGATTTCTATCGATCTTGTGAAGGTGTTAAGTCAGTTAGTGTCATATCTAGTTTCTAATTACAGGTATTCTTAAAGGAAATTAGCTTTTGTTGTCATAAAATGCTCACATGTACTCATATATATACATGTTCATATACACTTGTTTACAAAAAAATATTCTTCATATGCATATATATATATATTTACTGTTACAGCTTTAAGTTTCATATTGCAAAGAAGAGTGAGGCAAAGACCAAAGACTTAGAGAAATTCACCCCTTACCTAGGTGCCCTCACCCCCGAAAAGCACTACCTTTACTGGTGCTTTTTGGATTTGGGCAGAAAGAATGCAGGTTTATTGCATGGCTGCATTTGAATGAAGAAAGCGTCAAGAAGATTCTTAATTTTGTTAATGAGGAGAAAAGGAATTATTTAAATGCACACAGAAGGCAGGAATATCTAAAATTTGAAAGCTATAGAAATGTGGTAGAGTTTAAGAATTTTAAAAGGTTCTGTCTTAGGCTAAAAGTATAAATAAACCAAGTAAGTGTATGGCTTTTTACTTAACTGCATTCAAGCTGTAACAGATGAGGAACTGTGGCAGGGTTAATGAGACAGTGGTGGAGTTATCGAGAAGAGGCATGGTGCACTCATGCTCCATTTCAGTGGCACTAGAAAACCAGAGGGGATCCTGTACTAAGACCATCTGAATCTTTAGTCGTAAGAATTCATAATTACCCTGCTCAGTCATAATCCTTTCATTTTTGAAGTACATACAGTACATACAGTGAAAACAAAAAAGTTAGCAGCTCTGCTCTTTTATTTTTATGGTTGACATTTTAAATTTCAAAATGTCATCATCCAAACTGCACCTGAGCAAACGTAGGGAGCAGTTCGGTGAAGCACTAGC